TCCCCCCCCCCCCCCCCCCCCCCCCCCCCCACGCTCCCGTTTTCTTTTTGAGATCACGCCGCGGCAGAGAGACCACGTACTCAATCCCGATTTCGTTTTTTTTCGCCAGGTGAACACCAAATGGGTCGAGCAGCAGTACTTTGGCTCGTCGTGAACCTCGCGCCCGGCACCTTCGTTATAGAACACACACACACACCACTTAGACTATGGGCACCGTGTAGTGATAGCCCGGTAGTAATATATACGCTTTTCGTCTCGGGGGGGAAAAAGCACAAACACGGGGGGGCGTACGCGCGCGTATCAGCGCTCCGCAATCACCCAGCTATCGGCGTGACCCGTCGAAGACCGCTAGCGCTCCTCGCTCGTCGTCTCCTTCTTCTCCTTCTTCCTCGGCTCGACGACCTCCTCGTCCTCCCCGTCCTCGTCCTCGTCCTCCTCGTCCTCGTCCTCCCCCTTCTTCTTCTTCTTCTGCCAGCGCAGGCCCACCTGCGCGCCGACGACGGTGCACTTCCACGGCGGCGTCTCCGCCCCGAATTTGCGCGCGACGAACCCGTTCTCGCTCCCGGCCACGAACGCGTTCGCCGCGACGGTCACGCCGGCGTTCGGGACGATGACGTTGGCGGGCGTCACGAGGAAGGAGAAGGGCGCGCCGCCGGTCGGGGAGCGGAAGGCCGTACCTGTACCTGTGACGGTTCGCGGTCGGGCGTAGATCTGTGCGAGAGAAATAAATAAATGAATAAAAGGCAAAAAATGGGTCGCGGATCAGAGGGGGGGAGGGGGGGGAATAGTGCGTTGCCCTTGAGAGTGAGAGAGAGAATGTTTAAAGGGGGGGTGGCGGGGTCGGTGGCGGCACGCACCCTGACGGAGGATTTGGGCGCGGGGGCGATCGCGTCCGCGTCGAGCGCGAGCATGCCGCGCGAGGGGTCGCCGGAGACGATGCGATATAGGCGGGGATAAGGCTGGATTTGCGGGGAAGGGGTGATAGGGGGGAGGTTGGTCAGCGGGGGCAGGGACGGGTGGATGTGGATGTGGGAAGCTTTACCTCTTCGTCGTTCGTGTCTTTGAGCGTGCCGAGGAAGAGGTCGTCGGCGGGCGAGAGGCCGGAGTGGTGCAGGGCGCGTTGGAGCACGCGGGCGGCGGGGAAGTTTTCGATGCGTTGCACGATGTTCCCTTGCGAGCTGTGACGACGAGAGAGAGGAGGGAGTGGGGGGGTGGGGGGGGGTAAATTCGTTCGCTGTGAGCGATCGGGGCGTAATAAGGGTAACACGGAGGAAGGGAGACGCGGGCGGCTCACGTCGTGACGGTCAACATGGGGCTGATCGGTTTGAGGGACTCGAAGTCGAAAGCGGCGCGAAAGCGGGCGTGGCGGCCCATGAACGCGATGCCGACGGCGCCCGACGAGTGGGCTTCGCCGTTGTGGAAGAGGGTGTACGGTCGGCCGTTCAGGAAAGGCGTGGAGGACGCGATGAGGCCTAGCTTAACGACGTGAATTGAGGAAAAAGAAGGGGGGATGGGGGGGAATACGGAAGAGGGGAGATGGGAGGGAGCATAGGAACTCACCGTTCTCGCCTTGGGAAGTCGCCGGAACGAGTTTTGGAGCCCTTCCGGCGCGCCGTCGGAGAGGTACAGCACCGAGCTCACGAACCTGGGTCTGCGGGAGGGCGTCAGAAAAACAGCGGAGGAAGAGAGATGGGATGAACGGGGTGTCTTTTCCTGACCTAGGGCTGAATCTCTCCAGTTCAGGCGGGAGGGGCGGGAGCTCCTGCGTTGACTCGCCCCACGAGGGCATCGGCAGGACCTCGTCCACCTCCTTGCCTCTGTCCCGAAACGCGTGCCAGCGCCCGACCTGGGTCGCCGCGCGCCCGGGCACGGTCGAGCGGAACGGCAGGCAGCGACCCGGGTCGAACGCGGCGACGGCGCAGCTGACGTGCTCCGCGTCGGGGGGAGCGGAGATGCAGCCGACGTTGCGCGGGAAGAGGCTCGTGAGCGCGGCGACGACGGCGGCGAGGTCGACGGAGGTCTGCGCGGGCACGCCGAGCGCGAAGAGCATGGGCTGCCCCGGGGAGTAGGCGGGCAGGTTGCGGAGCTGGACGAGCTGGCGGAGGACGTCGGGGGTCGAGCGCGCGAAGGCGGTCCGGGCGTACAGGAGCATGTTACCGCGCCCGGTCTGCACGGTCGAGAAGAAAACGGATTTTTTCCTGGCAAGTTTGGTGGTTTGTCGTGAAGAGGTGGATGGTGGACGACTTGCAAAAGATAAATCGCGGTTGGTTGGCGGAAGACCCGCGCTCTCGGAGGCGGAGTGGCTCGCGTGGCCCGATCCATTCGGCATTTTCCGATGTAGCCACTCGGATACCACCCGTTGAAGCCGAGCGCGTTTGAGACAATTTATACGTCTTCACGCTCGCTCACTCCGACGTACCAATACTGTACTGACATGACGCACAGAATAATATTATATACAGCCTAAGATATAAACGCTCGAACCCAGACACCCACAACGGCGCTCTACAGAGGTCTCGCATTCATACCGTGGGTTCTTCACTACTTTTGCATGAATCGGCGGGTCGTTGGTGTGGGCTCGGCGGTATGAATTGCAAGTCGGGAAGTTCATTCACGGCCAAGCTTCGGCGATGGCGTCGCCCTGCATTCAGACTTTTTTAAAGTTGGAGTCAGACCGACCTTCCCAATACCGCGCGAGTGTTCACGACGCGAACAGGCTGTTCGAAAACACTGAAGCCAAGTTGGTCATTTCTGAGTCAATGGAAAAGCCATGTGAACCCCAGCCGACGGCTCTCGCCGTTGGCGTAAAACATGTTGACCGCGACCCACAACGCTATGGGCGTGACGAGTTACCGCCGTCGGAGATGCGGTTCAAATCCGGGTACGTACCGTTTGTGGGGCATGGTGATGCGCTGGTAGATAGTAGGTAGGGTCAAGGGGCTGCTCGTATCAGGTCACGAACATCTTCGTAACTCACCAATATCACCATCAAGGCGGAAATTACGCTGAGCATCCGGTTAAATCGGTGTCGGAAAGACCAAGCAAAAATAAAATAAAATAAATGCCCACCTCGTAAGCAAGCACGTCTCTGGAAACAGTGGTCAGCGAGCCCGGCGAAAACAGCACCAGGCAAGGCATACCCGGCGTCCACGCGATGATCTTGCGAAGGATAGATCGCGTTCTGACGTCCAGCTTCAGCGCACTGATGCGGGCGGTCGGAAGAACAAGTCGATCGCCGGAAGCACTCACTCGGCGTAACTCCGACTTTTGGGGCGTTGAGGTAGTAGCACAAGCCGGCCGCGCTGAACGCGTGGCCATCGCGGCCGTCGCGGCCATGGCGGCGAGGTGAACCAGGGGCGAGCGCCCAGCCGCAGCAAGCGAGATAAGTCGAGCGGGAGAGTTTCCAGAGGCGCCAGGTAAAGAACGCCTGCGCGTGGAAGTTGAGATGGACGGACCGCAGGAACGAAGGGAGCGACGTACCTTGGCTGAAGTCGCTACGATCGCGCCTAGCAATGCTCCCACAGGCAGAGACCAGGGCACGGATGTCAGGTAATTGGGCTCTCCATAGTGTGTGACCGTGAGATCGTAGATATAAACGCAAGAGATCACGGTGTGCAGCGTGTCCAGGAACCTGGCAGAAAATATCATCGAGCTGAAGGAAAAATGACAGGATCTATATACGAGCGCTTACCATATGCACGCAGTCAATGTCCGGACATGACGACTACCGCAAGCATCCGAATCACTCGTGTAGTACGTGTATGCTTGCACGCACATCACGCCATACAGCAGGGTGGCTACCCACGCGCCGATCTGCAGACCACCGAGAGAGAGATGGTACTGTGTGAACATTGTAGAGGAAACCTGAGGCATGAGGGAGGATCGAGCCGTCCGGCTTTGAGGTGGCTCTCTCCCGTAGAGCATCTCGGCGCAACGATGTATGTTGCCTCAGATGATAGCGTAGGTAACGATCCTTCAAGCTTGCCGTTGTTCCACAGCCATCAGCGCACCACAATCAGTGTCAAGAACCGAGTTCAGAAACGCGTAGCAGATTCACAGTGCCGGCTGCACGGTTTGCTGGCCTAGTATATCCATTCGGAAGCTGAGATGGTGAAACCACCGAGTCATGGCTGAGTGCGTCCGGCGGTCCACAGCCCCGTACATCGCGCGTTCCGGGTGAGTTCTGGCGACCGATGGAGCACAAGCAAACACCCAAAGGTAGTTGAGTATCCTTTCCGCATACTTGACGTACCCAGACACTCCCGATTGCGCATCACGGCTCTGGTATGCATGCACACCTCGTGCAGAGTACAGCTTCGAGCTGAGCAGATTTTCGCCCTTGATTCCTTGTGCTGGAGAAACCGCGCCCATGCACAATCTGGCGTTTGTTGAAGTCAACGTTCTGTAGAGCAAGGGCCCATCCAACGGCTATGCGGATGGAACTGGAGCAAAACCAAGGAAATTCGCGGCCGAGGTCGTGCTCGGCAATTACCGATTGAAATTTCCACCCCCCCCAGGCTGCCGCTTGCCTTTGGCCTTGGCTCGGTCTCCTCCTCCGCCTCCCACACTCTCCTTCTACCTTTCTACGTTCTCGTCGCGTTTTCCTGGACCGTGGCTGGTTATTGACATATACCCACAACCCTAGTCAGCGTATCAGACGTTTGGCTGTTTTCGGCCATGTCTGTACCACCCACTCTCGTGGACCTGACCCGGACGCGTATGCCAAGTTGCTCTTCCGGCTTTCGCCACAGCCTCAGGCGCGGCTTCGCGACCAAGACGGACGCGAGGCACTTGCAACAAGTCGCGTATGCGAGCCCAAGGCAGGTGCCGTCGCCGTACGGACTTGCCAGCGCGCCAACGGTGCGCCCGCCTTTCGAAGGACTGTGCGTTCTTCTTCTTCTTCTCGTCTATATTGATTGACCCTGACGCTTTGCATTCGAAGGTTGAAAAGGCCGCGGCACCCCCCAAAGGCGGGTCCAAAGGCGGGTCCTTCTGCGCAGATCGCGTCGGAACAAGAAAATCGGATCGGGGCGCTGAGGGAAGCAATGCCGGAGGTGCGTCAAACTTGTGCGTGCTCGTCTGCGTAGGATGAGTCCTCACCTCGGCGCGTGGTCAGGAGGAGCCCGAATCAGAACGTCCGCACTACTCCGAGGACTATCTCATGAGCGTATATGAAGACCTCCTTGCCCTGCCGACGGAGTCAACCCAGCAGCCCGAAACCGCCGCTGATATTCATGCAGCTGACCGGCGAGAAGAAGACAAGTCTGTCGTAGAGGGACTCGCCGTCCGCCTCGCGGAAGTCGAGCCTACCCCCTTGGCCGAGCCATCTTCATCCTTCGCCGGCGCACTGCGACAGCTGCGCGCGCAACCCTCAGGACAGCCCGTAGTCTCCCGTCAAATCGCGGTTGAAGGACACGAGACACGACATCGCGTCCTTCGGCGCCTGCAGCCACTCGTACAGACGCTAGAGGCCGTCAGTACGCACGTTGCGCCGCTCTCGCGTCGGCAGCGAATGAAGATGCCTGCGGGAGTGGTGCTGCCCGAGGAGTGGGGTTCGCTCATTCGCCACTGCGTGAGTTCGTCGGGTCGAAGGGGTCGGGACATTGCGCTGATACTAATACTAGGTGAACGAAGGTGACGGCCATTCTGCCGAAATTGCGCTTGACTTCATGAAGGTGCGTTGTCTATCACCTGGGATTGAGAGTGGAAGCTTATAGCCGTGGCAGCGTTACGGCGCCCCTGTATCGGAGGAGCATTATGATGAGGTCCTGTCACTGTACGCAAACACAGCCGACCCCGCAAAAGCCGAACGGTTCATCGAAAAATTCCTCCCCAGTGCGTTCTCTCATGTTCCTTATATACGTCCTACCCGCGGCTTACGTCGTCTCCAGCTCCCACCGAGCATCAACGCGACCTGCACGTCAAATCTCATCTGCGAGCCACCCCACCCGGGGCCGAGCCCTCCACTGCGCTCGCGACGCTGCACGCGTACGAATCGCGCGCGCTCCCCGCGCCGATGCGCTCCTACTCGCGTTCGCTCAAATCATTGTTCGATATGCGTACCGCTGCGGGCCACGCACGCGCGTGGGACCTGTTCGCACACATGCGTTACGTTGCGCACCCGCACCCGGACACGGTGCTTTACGCGCAGATGATCCGCGCGTGCGCGTTCCCCCTCGCGGACGCGCGTACCCCACGCAGCCGGTCTGACCCTGAGCGCGCGCTCGATCTGTGGACGGAGATGCAGGTCGGTGGAGTGGCGCCCACGCAGGCGGCGTACAACGCGGTCATACTGGCGTGCGCGAGGAGCGGGCGGAGGCGCTACGTCGCGGAGGCGTTCCGGCTCGCGAAGGAGATGCTGGACGGCGCCCGGGACGCGCGGGGTGTGCCCGCGTTCCGCCCGGCGGAGGGCACGTTCTGCGCGCTGTTGGAGGGCGCGAAGCGCGTGGGCGAGCTCGGGCGCGCGAGGTGGATTTTGGCGGAGATGGTGAGGGAGGAGGAGGGAGGGGAGGTGAGGGTGACAGAGGAGGCGATGCTGCACGTGTTCCATGCGTATGCCGCGTATAAGCCGCCGTTCGTGCGGGGGATGACGGTGTTGATGGGCGAGACGGAAGCAGAGGCGGCGGCAGGTGGTAAAGCGTCAGGCGCGGAGGAGGAGGCTGCGCAGAAGGAGGAGGCGACAACGACGGCGGCGGCGGTGAAGGCAGCGGGCGGCCGGAAGCCCATGTCGCACATACCGCCGCAGGCGCATAACGAGGTCGCTGACGAGGCCACATTCCTTTTCGCGCAGATTAGGGATGACACAGCGGCAGCCAACCGGAACGATCCAACAAGACATTTTCGATATGTTCAACTCACGCCGCGCCTGGTGAACGCGTATCTTTCCGTTCACTACGCACACTCGCCCATAGATCGTTGTCGGGAGCTGTGGTTCGACGCGTTCGAAGGGGTAGAACGCAACCCCATGACGTATGTCGAAGCTTTGGAGCGTTGTGCGATTGCGAAGAAGGGGCGGGACCGTCAAGCGGCGCAAGCATTCGCGGAGGAGGTCTGGTCCAGGTGGGGCCCTGTGGAGGAGGCGTGGAAGGCGGGCGAGGCGCGGTTCGAACCCCGGCTGGTCGAACGCGCGCACATCGCCATGATCCGGACAGTATCGCTGTGTGTATATCCATGTAGTCTTTCCTGGGTCGGTGCTGACGAAGATATCTCATAGTGCGAAGGAGCTCGACCGCGCGACGGAGATGGTCCGTCACTTCGCCACCGTCTACCCGCCTGAGCGCGTCAAGCAGCCATCACCGCTCGCGGCTCCACGGTCCGCGCGTACGATGCTCTACGCCAACCGCCCGCTCGTTCGGCTCGTATCCGCGCCGGAGATCCCCGACGACCACGTCCCGCCGCTGCTGACGTTCGCCGACCTTGAGATTCTACATCATAGACTCGTCGCCGCCGGTAGGATAGCGGAAGTGGGGTACATCAAGTGGGTGAGCAAGGCGTACGAGGGAGCGTTGAGGAGGAGACGGGATGCGACGATGGGCGCGCGGCCTGAGCCCATGGAGGACTAAGGTTTTGGTTGATTAGGGTAATTGCTCTATAATATCTCTTCTCTCATTCTGGACATGCATAAATGCCAATCGTACATAATGGTGCACAATCTGATTTACCCGGCAAGCAAGGCGGCCAGTTCTCGTTGCATAACTTGCCCCTGTACAGTGACAGGTGATCCGGCAATCTTCTCATCGACGTCCCAAGTGGGGAGTACGTGGTCTCCATGCCTCGTGCACTGTATGTTGGTAGGTAGGTAGTAGGTAGTATTACCCGGCGCGGTCCCAATACCGGAACAGCCGGTTCCCGAGGCCTCGCTTTTGCGAGCTGGGACACAGTGGCCTCAACGGTTCCCGTCGGCTCGTGTAGAGCTAACACACCGCCTCAGCCAAAGTGTGCATTACAATACATGAAAGTCTATCTATAGTACCTAACATCCGTAAGCTACTCTTCAATCTCTGCGAACAATTCTGCGAGCTCCCGCTGTTCGTGCGGTATCATCACGTACCCGTGGCGCAGTGCTCGGACTGAAGTCTGCTGCAGTGCTTTGCGCGTTCATGTTCATCTCATCTCAACACAACAAATCAGAAATCGGCCAGCATCCACCGCCTCCGTTGAATCTGTACTCGCGGGCCCGTGCGTCAAAGCTCCGCAGCAACGGCGCCAAAGCGATGTTGAGGTGCCGGTGGACGTCCGACGCCCCCAGTCCTCACATCCAATGTGTGCCCCTGCGCGCACGATCAGGCGAAGACCATTCATCAAGCAAGCAGTAGTCATACCCGGAAACACTGCGTCGCGATCAAGGAGTGTTTGTATTGTGGCACCGCGGTGAACAGCGTCTGGTTGGGTACTCCGGACGCCCGATAAGATTGAATCGCCGGGAAAATCAGATCTGGCTAACCTTACCCCTCTCTGCGATTTCGCGGGCGAAAACTCTGCGAACGTGTTTGGAAAACCGACAGCATAGTAGTATATGATGGGTCACCCAACATACACCCATGATCACATATTCTTGTTGGCAGGCAGCGCGGTGTGGAAGGCGTACGAAATATCTGTTGAGTTCGACGTTTCAGGTTAGTAATGACTCTGATGTGAAGTTCCGGAGAGTTCTCAGTTCCTTAAAGGCGGACAAGACGCAAGTTTGATTGGTGCGTCGGCTTCATGAAACATGGGACATCGACGCGCCAGTGTCTCTGCAGAGCTACGATACACCACACCGTCAGACATGCTATGGATAATTTTAGTAGAGCTATTTTTACGGGCGCGATGCTGTGATCCCCGCGCCTCGCATCGGCAAAGCATATATAAAGGAACAGTCCAGTCCGTCAATACAGCGAGCAAAGTGACCAACATGCAAGACGAAGTCGAAGCAGATACGACAACCGGTATGTTCAGTCACTTTTCTCTGCCGTGGTGTTCGACTGCGCTTATAATGACTTATTCCCTTGACCCTTTGCAGAACCTATCACAGTGGGCCCAATCGCTCATGGTCAAGATGGTGGCAGCATTGATGACGGACAAAAGATCTGCGAGTGCGCGAGTAAGTCTGTTTTGCTCTGCTGCTTTAAATATTATCCAACTACACCTTGCAGCAGCTACGTCATCTGAGGCGAATGAACGCTATGATATAGCACTCCAACTCCACCAGAGATTCTGCCAGAACAGCGATCTCGACGCCTCAAAGCAGTGCATCGAGCACTATGAGGCCCTCCTATCGGAGTCACAGGGAACCACTTACGTCAGCGCGACAATCCCAAATTCGAAACTGGACGTTTCGCTCGACCCCCGCCCAGAGCTATATCACATACTCGTTCGGCTGGCTGATCTATACGTGGATCGCTATAGGCACAATTACGACCAATGCGATCTGGATCTTGCGGTAAAATATGGGCAAGAAGCCCTGTCTATGTGCTGCACAGCTGGGATACGTTGCCCTACAGTACTGGGGCTATTCGCCAGCATCTTGGATAGCAATGCAGATGACGTTTCCCGGAAAGAAGATAGGATCGTTGCAGAGTCGCTCTGCAGAGAAGCCATCTCACTCTGCGCAACGGGAATCTACTTGGCAGCAACTATTCGCAGGAATATGGCATGGATTCTGATGGAGTTATTCAGAGATACCGGGTCTCACGCTTTGATCAACGAAGCAGTCGACATCCAGCGACAGGCCTTGGTTGACCTGCCTCCATCTCATTGTTACGATCAACATCGACACCTGCGATTCCTAGGGACATATCTACGCTGCCGATACCAATTTTTCGGAAGACCAGAAGATTTGGATGAATGCCTTGATGTTTATGCGCAGGCCGTGCACTTATGTCCAGAGATGCACATTGATCGATGCAAGACAGTAAATGGGATGCTCTGGTCGCTATATATGAAGACTTTGCGCTCTGGCGCTATCAATGAGCTCAACAAAGCGATTGAACTTGGACTGAACACTCTCAAAGAAGTTTCTGGTGCTGGATTTGCGCGCGTCCTTGGTCTCGATGTGGTAGGAGATCTGCTCGCCCTTCGGCACCAGCTCGCTCCATCAGATGGGCGCGAACTCGAGAAGTCAGTCACTCTGAGGCGGGAAGTTTTGCGACTATGTCCTCCCAACCGAGCAGACTATTGGGTGTACGTGGGCAGATTTGCACTCGGATTGCTTCTGCGGTACCACTGGACCGGAGAAATAAGTCATCTCGAAGAATCTATTCAACTCGGGCGTTCCATCATCGATTCAATTCCAACTACACACTCTCAGCGATTCATTCCCGCTCGCGATCTGGCGCGTTCACTGATGTTCCGCTTTAATGAGACAAGGCAAATCTCTGATCTCGATGAAGCCATCAAATGGGATCGCTATGCCTTGGCAAGCATCGGGACCTCACATGCGTCTTATGTCGGAGTTTGTGCCAACGCTATCTCCCATCTTGCCATATTATTTGATGCTCGGGGCTCTATCGAGACTTTAGAGGAGGCCATTACCCTCGGCAACACCGTCCTGGATACGATGGCTTCCGATCATGCCCTACGCAGCGATGTTATCCTCGAGCTGTCAACAGCTCTGTTACGCCGCGGGAGACATCAAGGGAATATCGCGGACATCGACCGCTCCATCTCGGAGTTAGCACGTATCAAGGAAGTGATGCTTCAGCGAACAGAGGGCCCTAAACTTCTGAGCACCCTCGCCGACTGTCATATCGTCAGATTTCGCTTCAATCGCAGCGACCAAGACGCGAACGATGCCTTGGAGATTATCACCGGCTTATTGGATAAGCTGCCTCCCGGGCGTCCCGAGAGGTATCAGTATCTCGTGAGTACAGCAGAACTCCACATGGAGATAGGAACACCTTACCGGAGTATCCGGGTCGCACTCTCGCATTTAGCCAGTGCTCTATCCGACGAACACCGGGACGTTCGTTCTCGAATTGAAGGAGCACGTCGCATACTTGATATCGCGGTGTCGCAATATCAGGATATCGTCTCCTCTGAGGCCGCAGCACATCGCCAACTGCTGGATATCTTCGCTCTTGTCGTGGGACTTCTGCCCCGAGTGGCCTTTTTTGATCTTCATCTTCATACCCGACTCCAGTCGCTGGCTATCGGCCAGAGCATCGCTCTCACCGGCGCATCTCACGCGCTCATCATCGGCTCATCTCAGAAAGCTCTGGAAATCCTTGAGCAGGGCCGTGCGGTCTTCTGGACCCATGCACTACGCTTGCGCTCTCCGTTCGACGCAGCGCCCAAGGAGCTCAGAGAACGATTGTTGATCCTTGCCCGACAGCTGGAGAAAGTGCGCGACAGCTCGTTTACGGGCGAGAACACGGGTGCCGTCGAAGCGGAGATCGCACGGAGAAGAGGTCAGATCGAAGAATACAACGCGCTGCTCAACCAGGTTCGCAAACTACCTGGACTGAACAGATTCCTGCTACACGACGAGTTTACGACGCTGAGAAAGGCATCCGAAGGAGGACCGGTCGTAGTGTTGGTTTCCAGTGCGCTGGGGTGCCACGCTATCCTTCTCAAGCAGGGGGGCGACTGTGTGAGCATTCCTATCGAACATCTTCCTGATACTTGGCTCGCACATTCCGGCACGGAGTGGCGGTCGATCATCGTGGATGCCAGGGCGGAGATGCGCGACTGCAGAAAGATGGAAAAATCGAAAATCCCGAAGGCTCGAAGGACGGCTGCCGACGAAATCTTGCGCCAGTTATGGATTGAGGTGGTGAGACCCGTCCTCAGTGCTCTAGGGCTCGAAGTATGAGACAACCCTCTACATTATCGTGGCATAAGGCTCACCAGTTGCTTCTAGCCCGCCGAAGGTCGAAACCGTCCTCGCATATGGTGGTGCCCTACTGGAAACTTTGCTCACTTACCGATCCATGCAGCCGGTGCTGGCGGAGAGTGGTGCTCGGATTACGTCGTCTCCTCCTACATACCGACCATCGGGTCCCTTCTTGCTGCCAGAAACGCGTATTCTCCCATCCTCAAGGAGGACGTTCACGCGCTCGTCGCTGCAACGCCTCGGTCGAGCATGCCACAGTGGAGCGACCTCATCAACACGCGCGAAGAAGCGAGAGCGATCCGTGCGGTCTTATCAAGCGGAGCCATAATAGAGCTGCCTCCCGCAGACGACGCTTGCATTGAGGGCGGAAACGGGATCACGGCGGAGACGCTGCTAAAGCTGCTGCCACAGACGAATATCCTTCACCTCGCGTGCCATGGCCATCAAGATCTGGAGAATCCGTTGCAGAGCGGATTCATTCTGCGTGACGAGAAACTCACGATCGAACGACTCATGCCTGTACCCCTCCCTCGCGCGTTCATGGCATTCTTGAGTGCTTGCGAAACAGCCAAAGGTGACTTCGTGAGTACCAATACCAGTCGAGATCATGGTGCGACTGAACAACGTGCCCATGCAGAATCAGCCTGATCAGGTGGTCCATCTCGCCGCCGCCATGTTCTTCGCAGGATTCAAAAGCGTCATCGCTACGCTTTGGTTAGTCCCATTTTGCAGCTTCCCACTTCTATGATACCGACTTACAACCGACTGCAAAGGTCCATGGCGGACGCAGACGGGCCGGAGATAGCTCGATCTGTATACCAGAAGATATTCAGCAGCAAATTGGATCACATCGACCCCGATGACATCGCGTACGCCCTCGACGAGGCCGTCACGAAACTGCGAACCGTCCAGCCTGAGCCGCTCCGATGGGCACCGTATATACACCTAGGGATCTGAACATGCACCATTGTATGTCATTGGGTCGGGCTGTAACGGCTCAGGATACCGTGCTTATAAGGCTACAACGAATAGTACCAGTTGCTCTGGTCTCCAGCCTTGGAACCTACACCTCTCCGAAGATGACGTTATACATGACGGCCTCGCCCCACCGCGAATTGATATATAACATGTGCGGAGTCGAAACACCTATCAGCCAAAGTATAGTAGCCCGCGCCATCCTCTGGGAACTTACGCGAGGGAGGGATAGACTTGGCTCTATCTGAGTCTTGAGAGCGCCTACCTCCAACACGGGTCCTCTCCGCTTTCAGGGTGGAGGCCTTACCCTTCTAGATGATGAATGGTGCTGTTGCGAACGAGAACCAGAGCAAGTATCAAGCCGGTGGGCCCGGCTCCGACCTGGGAAAAGTGGAATGAACACGATGCCATGATGTACAGTGGATGTATGCGCGTACCATGAGCATCGAAGGCGACTGGGGACGGTGTTAGGACATACAAGTTTCGAGATGAGTTGAATCTCCAAGTAGCAGGAGAGATGCGGTGGGTGATTCCCGCGTGTACGGGAAACGTATCCTAGGCTCTGGTGCGTCCAAGCCAGGGGTCAGGTCGACATCGTTCGTCCGAGCCAAGTCCTTGCGACCGCGTTTGGCATTCCTTTCAGACTTCACAGAATCGTCTCATGTTGAGTATATTGGCCAGGCAGTACGTGCGTCAACTTTCGAGAGTCGGGAATGGGAAGGAAGTCGTCGAGACCGGCCGTCGCGTCGTCGTGGCGGGAGGCAAATCGTCACGCGTCTCCTTTTTTGAAGTCCTCGTCCACCACACAGATCGACACACTCCGGAACACTCGTGGTGACATCCTTGTAGAGGAGGAAGATATCTCAGGATCGATTCGTTCACATTTGGGCTAACGGCCTCCAAATGCATAAGTAACAGAAGAGCTGCCCTCAGGTATCAAGGCAGGGTGCGCAGACCGAGCTGATACTCGCGGTCATCATCTGATTATCTTCTACCGACAGACAGTGCCATGTGAGATACC